AACGAGTTTGGATCTTGAGCCTACGTCCACTGTCTTTCTTATTTGCTTTGAGAGCTTGGAAGAAAATAGTATAGTTCCTAGAATAATTTGCTAACCCCTTCTCCATCGTTGGAGAGGGTTTATACATAAGTTTCTTACAAAGGAAAGAGCAAAATTAAAGGGATTACAATTAAGATTGAATTGCAACTCCTATATTCTCGCGATTGAGCGCTAAGATTGCACCATTATTGTTGTTGATCTGATCCCTTCCGAAATATGTAGGATTTGAGCTTATCTATGACCTGATTGAACAACTGTCAGGATTAGTAGCTCATACTGGGTTGAGGTATATCTCAACGAGCTTATGCTGGGTTGGACAAGTGTTGAGCCGAGTTGATTATGAATCAGACTATAACCTCACGTTCTCCAAGCTTAATGGAAAAATCACACACAACACACAAGAATGGGAATCTAAAGGGTTTCACAATTTATCTGTATTTACTGGTAAATAAAATTGTGGGACAAGTTCTTGGCTTTCAGCATGCAATGAAATTCTATGAAATTTAAATTAAAAAAATAAAAATAAATAAAGGTTATATAAGCTTCAATTCATAATCCCGTTTTGGTTGTTCCATGCTCAAAATTAATTTGGGTTTACATCATTTCAATTAAAAATGGAAGCTATTATATAGGAGAAACAAAAAACTGTTACATCATTTTTTGATTAGGTGACCTCTCATGGTTGATAAGATAAGCCTATCATTAGAGATATTGATATTCCATTATTCAATTTCAGCGTGTTTGGTATGCATTTTGTAAAACCAATAACTTGAGACTTCCCAACTAATTGCATTTTTGTGTATAACAATGTGACGCAGCAAGTGAGCTTACTAGTATTAGACCAATTTCACGCAAGAGTTTGTCCTGTGATAGGTTGACCGCCTTTATAGACCTCTTTGTACCAGTCTCTACTTAATCTAACCGAAAATAATATTTGATTGAGATCATCTATCCTGATCTTAGCTTCATATGAACAAGTTGGTGATTGATAATTATTAAATATATATATTAAAAAAAATATATATATAATAGATGCTTTTTTGATACATAAAAAATGAAATAGATTACATTATATATATACCAATCAAATTACTTCACTACGGTAAGTCTCAATAAGTTTCAATCAAAATAGCTCGGTCTCTCAAATTTTCGATTGTGACTAAATGATTTTAACATATAGTGGTCCTATTTTGCATCAAAATAGTGGTCCTAGCTATGGATTTCAATCAGGCTACTGAGTTCCTTTTCATATGATCTCATAATATAATGCTTAAATCTTATTAGGTAGAATATGGATCAGAAAAAGGCCATCAGAAACATACAAAAAATTTATTATAAGATCACGGAATCGGCATATATTTTTCAATTCGGGTTTTTATATATGACTGCAGTTTGCACCGGTGGTTGTATAAATCTCATACAACAATGTAAACATATATCCCTCGAAGCCAGCTGAAATAAAACCAAGAAAATTCATAACAATCAAGATTATGGGATCGCAGTCACAGCCCAAGATCCCTGTTATAGATATGTCAAACGAAAGTTTGAAGCCAGGCATAAGCACCTGGCTCTCTACATGCAAAGAAATACGCCATGCATTTGAAGAGATCGGGTGTTTTGAAGCAATTTATCGTGAAGTTCCTTTGGAACTTCACAATAATGTCTTTGCCACAGCTGCAGAATTATTTGGTCTCCCAAATGAGATAAAAATGAAGAACAAAAGCACCAAGACATACTTCGATTACTTCGGACAATATGCTTCCCTCCCACTCTATGAATCCTTGGCCATTGATAATCCAACAAGTCTTGAATCAACTCAAAGTTTCACCACCCTCATGTGGCCTGCCGGATATGAAGGCTTTTGGTAAGATTTTTTCCACAAAGTCATGATAGCTTTGTACTAATGTAGGAAAAATTTCTCAGAGAATTTGGTTGATAATAATTGAATACAGAAATTTAGAATTTCACTAATCTCATCGGATGGCTTCTTTTTTGCTATTTTTTCTGTTTTTATTTCTTTGAGAATTTTCCTTTTATCCAAGTCTAATTCTTCTTCATTAGGATTACAAATTGTTTTTCTAGATATAATTCTAATAAAATGTTTTCTTGTTTTGAACTAGTGAAAGTGCTCATTCCTACGCGGAAATAGGGGCGGAGTTAGAAAAAATGGTGATGAGAATGCTGTGCGAAAGCTATGGACTTGATGATGAGCATTATGAATCTTACACTGAGTCAGCTAATTATCTTCTTCGTTACTTCAAATATAGAACTCCGAAGGCGAACGAGACAACGGTGGGCTTAAACCCCCACACAGATAAAACCTTGAGATCCACAATTCATCAAAGTCATATTAAAGGTTTGCAGATCAGAACCAAGGATGATGAATGGATCGATGTTGAGCCTTCGCCCACATCTTTTCTTGTCATGGCAGGCTATGTACTCACGGTGATTCTCAGCCTATCCACTCCTATTTCAGGATTAAGAATACTTATGAGCTTCTCTTCTTCACAATCTATTTGATATATAAAACTATACCCCAACACCAACACGGCGTCGACATTTTGCAAATATGCCAGCATCGTTAAACGGCGTTGGGGTGTTCTAGCCATAATGTATATCCCATTTCTAAACCCCACGCCAGAACGCATCAGCGTAAGGTAGAAATGGGATACCCAGCACAATCTGGGTAAGAAGTATATGGCCTGTTTGATATATTATTTAAAATAATATTATATTATGAATAGGACATGATAAGATTTAATCATATAAGATATGATTATGAGAATATGTTGGGTACATTTTTTAAAAACATTTAGATTATTTTTTAACCCTCTATATTTGTTAATTTAGCTAACACTCCCCACAATAAAAGTTTATAAATTAATAAAAACACCCCATCCATCCAACCGATTGCCAGCAATGGTCGCCGATCTGACCTTTTCTGGCTAGATAACCGTGTATCTAGCCGAAAACAGCTAAATCTACGGCCATAAACTGGTGGCCAGACCCATGGTGGATCTGGTCGGAAATGGCTAAATCGGTCAGATCCGACTGATCGTGCATCGTTCTGACAGTGTCGGCCAACAGTGGTTGCTTGCGGGCAACTATGGCTTGGGTGGGTGGAGGTATTTTTGTTAATTTATAAACTTTTATTGTGAAATATAATTGTTAAATGTTTTAAGTTAAAATATGATTAGATTTTAAATTGAGTAGTCAATATTAAAACAAACACATTTTTTACTGTTTAAGATAGGATAGTAAAATATAATAAAGTTTGAAAAGTTAAACAAATATCGGGATATTTATTGTCGTCAACAACTTAGTGTCGGCATAAAATGTTTATTTTGACGGCGGAGTCCGGCATACAAAAGTGGCCTTGGGGCATGAATGTTTTACTGTAATGTGTCAATACTTAATTAAAGATGATATAGATGCAGAATATAATAGCATATGAGTTTTAATTAAATTTATTTTTTGTTTTAGGCATGGAGTAATGACAGAATACGACCTTGTTGGCATAAAGTCAATATGACTGCAAGCGAAACGAGAATATCAATGGGATTATTCTCTTTCATCAGTGGAACTGTAAACATACCTGAAGAGTTTGCAGATGACACTTGGCCTTTGCGGTATAAGCCGTTTAACCATTTTAGGTACCTTCGTTTCAATTCTGAAGCAGAGCCTAAAGGATTGCCTTCTACTCTCAAAGACTATTGTGGCATGTGACAGACCTTTTTTTATTTAAAAGAACCAATAAGCTATGCTTATGAGGGCTGATAAAAATTTCAGCACAAGATTATTTGGTGCAAAGTTTGTAAAGTTTGTGAATTGATTATTAAAAGCTTCTTATCTAGAATAAAAGTCGTGTTGTGTAATTTGTATGCACATGAACATATAGAAAATTTACAGGCTTGTCACTATGTTTTAATATTATTTTTTCTGGTAATTAGGGTATTTTAACTAGCTTGAACGTACCTTAACTAATCTTTGAGATCTATTGAACCTACAAGCTTAACGAGTCAGGTAAATCATAAATGTGATAGGTAACCACTATATTTTAATATTCCTTGATTAATATGTTTAGGAGAATATTGTTCATACATAAATTGTTGCAAAAAACCGATATGGCCACTATTTATGGAATACATGCTTGGTGTTGGAAAGCTAACCTAAAATCCCAAACATTAAGCAATAATCTCCACAAACCCAAAATATAGAAAAATTAAATAATACAATAAGTAAACAAACAACACAATGTAATCAAATCGCCTACATGAATAAGTGATGACGTTGATTTCGCTACATAAGGAAAATTAAGTGTTAAGTTACTATATACTCTCACACTCCTCACAGTAGCCAAGTACTATAAGCTTGCTGAATCCCAACCCAAATTCAGTCGTACAGATATATTGAAGAACACAAACTTTAATCTCTTTCACAATAAGCCTCTCAAGTTTTACTTTGTTTCTCCATACTGTTAGCCAAAGCAAAGTGGCAAAGGATATAATATAGCCCTTTCAATAATGCTAAACAATCCGGAAGTTATCCCGAAATTCCTATACCAAGTAATGTATAATCTTATATATTGTTTAGATGTAAATGAAGTAGTGATTCTAATTAAAAGAGGGCCAGAGATAATATATAACATAAATTTGAGGCAATTTATAATTATAACCCTTTTCTAGATCTTATTCCCCTCCATTTGGTTAACAGTTAACAAAGTAGTTAAGTTTTGAAGATCAAAGTGTTACGGACAGAGTTGACAATATGAATGTATACTTTTTTCTTGGAATATATGTACATTGGCCGGCCACACGGCTCTTTCCATAGCAACCTTGTTTCAGTTGTAGAGTGAAATTGACAACAAATTTGGCTTTTCTCCGCATTTCCAAAGCATTAAGATTAGTACTGGAGAAAAAATATTAGAACTTACGGAAAAGAAAAAAGTTACCAGTTTCAAAATGCTTCCCAAAATTCCTGTTGTAGATTTATCAAAGGAAGACTTGAAGCCTGGAAGTGGTTCTTGGCTTTTAGCATGCAATCAAGTTTGTCATGCACTTGAAGAGTATGGCTGCTTTGTGGCAGTTAACAATAAATTTTCTGTTATGCTAAAAATTAGAACTCAATCTACCAAAACAAACATCAAACACATTCCAAAGAATCTAAATCATACACCAAAGAAGCAAGAACACACAATCAAGAACACCAAGGATTTTACCATGGTTCACTTATTTCAAAATTGAGAATAAGCCACATCCACGTTGAGCTCCAAAAACTTTTGGGGCTCACTGCACTAAGAGATTAGAAGTTTACAAATTACAAGAACAAATCAACTCCAAATCTTTACACACTCAATCAATCCCTAAATTCTAACTGTAACCTTTAATCACAAGAGAAATACAACCTAGCTTCTCTACCCTTGAAGGAAGCTTCACCTTCAACTCAAGATTACAGAAATCTAAAACTGATTACAAGAAAATTAGACTCAATTAGAAACCCTTGTAGAGTATTATTTTTTATCATAAAGAGAGAGCTGGAGAAAAGATGCAAATCTGGAATTTTTGATGTCTTTTATAGCTTTGACTTTCTTGGACAAATGGCAGCCATTAGATTTCTTTAACGAGCAAAGGCCAAGATTAAAACTTCTACTTCCTCAAACGTCACTGTTTTAAGCTTTATTTAACAATCTCCACCTTGAAACTCAAAACTCACCAACTTCAAAACCTTATCAGTGCAGCTAACCCATCCAAGTTCTCTTCATAGCTCAATTGCTGCTCTAATTTACAAATAGCATATTCAAGCAATGCTTGAACTTGGCAGTTGTCACCACCTTTGTCCCATATCTGCTAGATTATCCTCTGTTGCTATCTTCTTCAGATTTATCACTCCCTGCGCCACTAAATCCTTGACAAAATAAAACCTCACGTCCATGTGCTTGGTCCTCTCATGGTAGACTGAATTTTTACTTAGATATATTGCACTCTAACTGTCATAAAATACCATCATTGCCCCATCTATCAATTTCACCTCCGTTAGAAGTCCTTGTAGCCACAATGCTTCCTTGAATACTTTTGCCACTGCCACATATTCAGCTTCTATCGAAATAGGAAGTAGTTGACTTCCTTGAATCCTAGTCACCTACAAAATCAGAGTCTACAAAACCCACAAGATCAAGTGACTCACATCTTTTGGAATATTCTAAACCAACATGAGTTGTGCAATTTATATATTTTAGCAACCATTTTAGGGCAGACCAATGTCCTAACTCTGGGTTAGACATGAACCTACAAAGTAATGAGATGGAAAAAGTAAGGTCAGATCTTGTACTTATCATAGCATACATGACTGATCCTCTTACATTAGCATAGGGAACATTTTCCATTTTTAACAAATCAGAATCAGATTTAGGATATTGAGACTTACTTAGGATAAAATGACTGGCTAAAGGCAGATTTGCACTCTGAGACTGAGCCATACCAAATTTAGAAACTAGTTTTTGCAAACAAGCACTTTAATGTATTTTTAGCTCATTACACTTTCTATTTCTGGTTATAACTATCCCTAAAATCCTTTTAGCACACCCTAAGTCCTTCATATCAAACGCAGAATTGAGTTTTTTCTCTAATTCATCTGTTTTAGACTTAGACTTGCTAATTAGAAGCATATCATCCACATAAAAAAGAAGATACAAAGGCATGTTATCATTCAAGGCATAATAGAAACAATTATCATATTAACTCCTATTAAAACCAATACTCATGATAAAAGCATCAAATCTTTTGTACTATTGCCTAGGGGACTGTTTTAAACCATATATAAGGACTTGTGTAGCAAACATACATGATTTGGAAGTCTTTTATCTACAAAACCAACAGGCTGCCTCATGTAGAATTTTTCTTCTAAATTTCCATGTAAAAACGCAGTTTTTACATCAAGTTGTTCTAGTTCTAAATCATGGCATGCAAAAACAAACACATAAGTCTTATGGTCTTATATTTCACAACGAGAGAAAAGATATCATTAAAATCTATTCCTTCCCTTTGTGTGTAGCCTTTGGCTACCAATCTTGCCTTATATCTAGGAGGATCAGAGAGAGATATACCTTCTTTTACCTTGAATAACCATTAGTTTCTGGTCTTTGGGATTTGGAACCAATGATTGGGTTCCATTTATCTTTAGGGAGTGCATTTCCTCCTCCATTGTAGTCTGCCATTTGCTTTTGTCCTTGGATTTGATTGCCTTTTCATAGGTGACAGGTTCTTTCCTTTGCAATTCAGCCCCAGCCACCAAGGCTATATATATAAGCTTAGCATAAGAGAACCTCGCTGGTGGCCTGATCTCTTTTCTAGTTCTGTCTCGGGCCAATTGGTATTAGGCTAATGAATCATGTTGAGAAACCTCAGGATTTTCAACATGTTGTCATGATTCAGATCTGGTGCGACGATTACAGTTCCTGGATCTTCCTGTTCAAGTTGGGTTATTAGAGGCTCCACTCAATTTGAATATTCTCGGGTGGTTCTTGACTTATACGGTTACTGCTTGAGGTACTTGCGCCATTATCAACAGATTTGCAAGGAAAAAGATTCTCATTGAATATTACATCCCTACTAATTATAATCCTCACTTCAGGTTCACTCCTCTCCCATAACCTATACCCCCTGGTTTCCTATTGATAACCTAGAAACACACACCTCAATGATCTTGAGTCTAATTTTCCATTAGTGGTGTGAGCATATATTGCACATCCAAAAGCACTTAAGTGACCCAAGTTGGGTTTTCTATTTAATCACTTTTCTTTAGGGCACATAAATTCTATGGCACTTGAGGGACTCCTATTGACTAAGTATGCAACAGTGTTTAAGGCTTCCTCCCAAAAGATTTTAGGTACGCCAGATGTAAACAACAAACATCTAACCTTTTCTAATAAGGTTCTATTCATCCTCTCAGCAACTCCATTTTGCTGAGGAGTTTTCCTAACTGTTCTGTGTCTCAGAATACCCTAGTCACTATAGTAGTTATCAAACTCTAAATTGTAGAATTCTAACCCATTATCAGTCCTAAGGGCTTTGACCTTTCGGTCAATTTGATTCTCTAACAATAGTTTCTAACTCTAAAACCTGCCTAAAGCCTCATCCTTAGTCCTAAGCAAGTAAACCCACAATTTCCTACTGTAGTCATCAACTATAGAAAGGAAATAACTATTGCCCCCGTGTGATGTTATCCTTTCAAGCCCTCACAAATCAACATGCAAGTAATCTAAACAATTTTTAGCAAGGTGAGATCCCTTTTGGAAACTCAATTTATGTTGCTTACCCACTACACATGTTTAATAGAAGTTAAGAGTTTCAATGGAGTCCTTACCAAACAACCCCTATTTGCTTAGGATGTCTATGCCCATCTAACCCATGTGGCCCATCCTAGGGTGCCACTTCTCTGTAACAGTCAGGTTAGTAGAAAACAAAGCAGTATTATAACATTTAGAATCATGGTTCCCACAGAAAATATATAGTCCATTTCTTTTCACTCCCCTGAGGACTATGTTGTTATTCCTATAGACATTTAGGCACCCATTCTCAGCTTTATAACAACACCCATACTCATCTAGTGTTCCTAGAGAGATCAAATTCCTCTTTAAGTCTAGAATGTATCTAACCTTAGTCAATTTAATGTTTTTTTTCCATTTTCAAGCCTTAAGGTTATACTACCAATTCCCTGGACTTTGTAGGAATTATTGTTTCCCATAAACATAGTTTCTAGTTCATTAGCCTCAAAGTCTTGGAACCAGTTTTTATTATAGGACTCATGTGGAATGAGCATCTTGAACCTAGTACCCATTCATTTACATTATCTGATTTAGAGACAGTAAGGGCCTCTAACTCTTCGATATTGGTTTTAGTGGATGCTAGGTTGCTCTATGTATTTCCCTGCTTCTGTTTCTTAATCCAAGCAAAACAAAATTTCTTTAAGTGTCTTGTTTTATTACAAAAGAAACACTTTCTAGTCTCCCCTTTTGCTTTATGATTTTTTTTACCCTTCTTTTTATTCCTATGACCATTTTCAAACTGTGTGTTACTACCCAACATGCATGCTTGACTCCCTTTTTCCCTTCACAAATAGATTGTTACCACTCCTTTTTTGCACTCTAAGTTCTAGTTCCCTAGCTTTTAATCCTGAGATTATTAAATCTACAATAGGGACAGTTCCAGTGTATTGTAATGCATTTTTTACAACCTAATATTCCTCAGTTAGCGAATTTAACAATATCATGGCTAAACTGGAATCTCCAAGTTCTTTATCTATACCCTTAAGCACTAGGGTCATTTCCAAGAACTCATCAAGATTCTCATCAAGTGTCCTAGAACTATCCATCTTGTAAACAAATAAAACACCTTTAAGATCTTCAAGATTAGGTGCTGATTGCAAAGCATAAAGAGATTCAAGCTTACGCTAGAGTGTGATAGGTGTTTCAAAGCCATCTACCTTCCTAAAGACCCTGTCGAAGAGATTCATAATGATGAGGTTATAGGCTTCCTCATCCACCTCAGCTTTCTTTTTTAATTTTTCCTCTGTCCACTTTGTTGTGTCCTTCTCCAATGCAATTGCTACCTTATTGTGAGATAGCAATGCCTTCATTTTCTTCTTCCAGCTATTAAAATCGATATTCCCATCATATTGGGTGATCTCAACACGTATGGTAGTCATTCTAAAGACTCAGTGTTTGATTTAGGATTTTACTGAGAGAAACCGTAGAAATTGAAAACGATTTCTAACCCTTTTCAAGAGATTGAGACATTGATTTTAGGAATTTCTAACCCTGGGTTGCAATTGAGACTCACAAACCAAGAAGCCACAAAATTAACAAACCTTAGATTTCAAGAAACCCTAGACCTTGCTCTGATACCACTGTTATGCTAAAAATCAGAACTCAATCTACCAAAACAAACATCAAACACATTCCGAAGAATCTAAATCACACACCAAAGAAGCAAGAACACACAATCAAGAACATCAAGGATTTTACCATGGTTCACTTATTCCAAAATTGGGAATAAGCCACATCCACGTTGAGCTCCAAGAACTTTTAGGGCTCATAGCACTAAGAGATTAGAAGTTTACAGATTATAAGAACAAATCAACTCCAAATCTTAACACACTCAATCAATCCCCAAATTCTAACTATAACCTTTAATCACAAGAGAAATCACAACCTAGATTCTCTACCCTTGAAGGAAGCTCGACCTTCAACTCAAGATTACAGAAATCTAAAACTGATTACAAGAAAATTAGACTCAATCAGAAACTCTTGTAGAGTATTATTTTTATAATAAAGAGAAAGCTGGAGAAAAGATGCAAATCTAGAATTTTTGACGTCTTTTATAGCTTTGACTTTCTCGAACAAATGGAAGCTGTTAGATTTCTTTAACAAGCAAAGGCCAAGATTAAAATTTAATTCCTCAAACGCAACTGTTTTGAACTTCATTTAACATTTTATTTAGGATCTTGCAACAGAGTCTTTGAATCAACCAAAGAGTTGTTTGATCTTCCTTTAGAAATCAAAATACTAAACGATAACAAGAAGCCTTACCAAGGCTATATTGGGAAAAGCCCTCATTTTCCTCTTCATGAAGCTATGCGAATAGATAATGTAACCACTTTTGAAGAAACCCAAAAGCTTACAAAACTCATGTGGCCCAACGAAAACGATCCTTTCAGGTAAGCTTTTAATATACACTTCATTAGATTAATTTGTACCGTAAGTTCATATATCTGAATTTGAATATATAAATTTTTAATGGACCCTCTTAACCTGATCCAACAAATAAAGGTTTGTGATTAGTGAACCATTAGTAATAGGAGTCTTGCTCAGGATTAGGGTTACCAATGTGAATTTTTAAAGGGTGAATTTTTGTTTGTTGGCTTTGTTTTGGTGACGGTTGTCTTGTATATGGTTTGGAGATGGTCTTGTGTAGACTTTTGTTTTTGTCCTAACTCAGGGTTTGTCTTGTGGTAAGATGTGCATTGGGAGATAGTGTCATGTATAACTCTTTTGTCTTGTTTTTTATCCTCCCAGGGGCTTGTCCTGTTGTAGGTTGGTCGCCTTTCGAGACCTCTTTGTATATTCTTTTTCTTATTCTATTTAAAGCTTAATTACCCAAAAAAATAAAAGTTTGTGATTATTAATCACAAATAGGAATAAAATAGACAAATGGATTCTAATACCATAAATTAATAAATGACATTGCAGAAATTGCAAAAGATCTTTAAAAAACTCAAGAAAGCTTAGATCACCAGGAAACGATCCTAATTTCATAATTCTTTCCACTTGTCTGTCTAACATTTTTTTGTCTTTTTTGATCAGCAAAATTGTCCACTCGTACTCAAAGTTAGTGGAAGAGTTGAATGAGCTGGTAATATGAATGGTTTTTGAATGCTATGGTGTTGAGGAGTACTGTAATTCCCATATTAAATCAAAAAGTTACCATCTTAGATTATTGAAATATGAAGAGCCTAGGTGTACTTGTTGAATATTTTTGTCAAACTTATGGTGTTTGTGTGCATAGTTGTTGTGTGTGTGCACACTGAAGTTAGACATATGCATGCTGCATTTCATTTCGCATTTTACTTCGTGTGTGCACACACTCTTGTTTTGTGCTAACATCGCATGTTTTACTCACTTTGCACAAGTTGTGTTTTTTACTTGATAGCTAAGATATTTTCTTTGCATCTTTTATGCTGTCATTTGGACCATTTACAAGTGTCCCAATATCCTTAAGTGGTCCAAGGAAAACCAAACTTTTTCACTTTTTGATTGTGGTCCCAAAAGGTAGATGGAATCTTTTCCATTTTTAGACCAACATGTGTCAGCCTTTGTCTGCTGACTTGGCAAGGATTGGGGAGCACGAAATTGGCCTTTATCATTATTGCTCATTTGTAAAGCCAACCTTTGATATTCTATTTGTTTGTACTCTAATTCTTTTTGCACATGTGGCGTCTTTTTTATATTATCTTGCCCATCAAGATTTATCTCTTTCATGGTTTTTGTGTAAGTTTTCTCTTTATAGTTGTCTGCCTCTCCTCTTATGGCCCTGAAAAGTTGGTGAGTTTTTGTTTGTGGTCACAACAAAAGATGAAAGAGATTGTCTGCCATTTGTCTTAAAGAGATTGGTCAAGCAAGGATTATTTAAACCCATCTTCTTCTTCCTTGCATCTTCGAACCTGGTTTTTTCATTGTTTAGTTCTCTGAAGTTTTAGAAAGCATTTCAATCAGGTTCCCTTTGTTCATTCTTTGATGATCATATCTTAGCTTGTTGAGGAGTATTTATTTGGAACATAGTTCCTTTATTGTGAGCTAAAAGGAAGTTCATCTCCTTCCTTGTTTGTTTTCTTTTTGAACTTGGATATTATTTTGTTTGTGCTCTGAAATTTTCAGAGAGTTTATTCCTTGCTAGGTTTCATGTATGCTTTAATGCTTAAATCATTTTGTTCATCTTTGTTTATTGTTTATTGCTGCTGGAACTTGCATGGTTCCTACGCTAAGAGCTTGAAAAGAGTTCAAACCCTGGAACCTGGAGGTGTTCTTTGGCGAGTGAAGCTTGGGTGGAGCTCAAACATTGTCCGGGAGTGTTCTTGGTGTGCAGTGATCCTAGAAGCGATGAAGCAATAGAGATTCAGAGGGTGGTGTTTAGTGTAACATAGTACAGGGAATCTCTTTGTTGTAGCTAAAATTAACTCTAAGTGATATCTTATAATGTTTATTGTTATAGTGGATTAGCTTTGATCTGAACAAGGTCCCATGGATGTAGGCTAAGAGTGGTTTTAGCCGAACCATGTATATGCTTGTGTGCTTTATCTTAACCGCTTGTGGTTGTTGATTCATGCTTAACTTGATAACCATTAATCAACTTGGTAAAATTTTCTGCTGCACTTTAAAAATGGGTATCTAATGTTGAATAAAGTTCACCAACTCTAACAGTATTATAGTCAACTGGTTCTTCCTCCTCACGAAGATATAACTTTCACCAGCATATTACGTCAAAACCATGTTAAGGGTTTGGAGATAAAAACAAAAAATGGCGAGTGGATCGGTTCTGAGCCCCACCCTTCATCCTTTATTGTGATGGCCGGCGATGCATTCACGGTGAGACTTGTGAGAGGTACGAAGAAAACAGGGAAGAACAAAGAAAAAAGAGATCTGAAATTCTTCTATATTTTTAACTCATCAAAAGAGAAGTACAGTAACATGATACTTATAGTAAAAACAGAGCAAAAGACGTAAAACAGAAACAGAATACAAAACTGTTATAGAGACGTAAAACAGAACGTAAACAGACTACAAAACTGTTACAGCGGTAAAACTGACTTAACAACTTTTTAACAAACTTCTTAAACTGAATTAACAGCTTTAACAACTTCATTAATCAGTTTACTAACATCCTCCCTTAAACTAAACTATCTTAACTACCATTCAGTGTTTTACTGACATCCTTCTATAAACCAAGCCATCCTTTTTATCATGCATACTAACGTCTAATTCTGAACCATGTTAGCAGCAACAGTCTCATTAACCTGATGCAGCAGTTCTTTTAGTAAACTGATCTGATGAAGCTTCAGTATTAAACTAGGCTGATGCAGCACTAGCATTATCTTACAGATTCACCATACTAACTTGATTAGCAATAGCACTCTCATTAAACTGATCTAGCAACTCTTTTAGTAAACTGATGAAGCTCCCGTATTAGACTGATCTAACAGAAAAAAAAAAAAACACCAGTATTATCTTACAGAGTTAATAGAGTCAATTCTGAAACAGAGAGAGTTGATAACTCATATTTCTTGGTCAGGAGAGATGACTTTAGAATCTGAGGTTTCCTGTGGAAGAGAGGAAACAACCGTAAGTTTATATCTGAGAGCTTCAAATCTCGTAGTGGACAAGGATTTGGTAAAAATGTCTGCGGTTTGGTGCTCTGTAGGGACATAGCAGACTTTTAGCTATTTGGCTGCAATTTGTTCTCTGATGCAGTGCATATCTAACTCAATATGCTTGGTTCGAGCATGGAAAACTGGATTAGATGCAAGTGAGTTAGCACTCTGATTATCACACCATATAACAGGAACTTCAGGAAGATGCAGACCCATTTCAGTGAATAAATTATGAAACCAAGCTATTTTTGTTGCACCTTGAGCAAGAGCTTAATACTCAGCTTCAGTAGAAGATAGTGCCACTACTTTTTGTTTCCTGGAGCTCCATTGCAGCAAGTTAGATCCAAGGAATAGGCAGCAACCGCTGGTTGATCGTCTGTCCTGAATACTTCCTGCCCAGTCAGCATCAGTGAAGCATTCAAGATGAAATCTTTGTATTTTGGTGAACTTGACACCAAAATTTGAAGTGCCTTTAATATACCGAAGAAGTCTTTTGCAAGCTTGCCAATGAAGTTGAGTGGGAGCTTTTAGAAATTGACTTAATTTGTTGACAGAAAATGCAATCTCAGGCCGGGATAGTGTGAGATATTGTAGTGCACCAATAGTACTCCGGTAGAGAGATGGGTTGTCAAATGGCTCACTATCCTCAAATGTTAATTTGTTTCCTAATGCCATTGGAGTGGAGCACGGTTTGGAGTCTGACATTCCAGTTTTAATCAGTAAATCCCGTGCATATTTGTCTTGGCTCATATGTACTGCTGAACCTGTTCTTTGAACTTCAAATCCCAGAAAATACTTAAGAGAGCCCAAGGTTTTTAAGGCAAACTCAAGATTCAGTTTGCACACAATGTCTTGAACTAACTTATCATCACTTCCTGTCAATAATATGTCATCAACATATACAACACCATATATAACCTGATTGTTGTGTCTGTAAATAAATAGACTAGGATCAGCAACTGAACAGAGAAAACCCCACTGCAAGAAGGCATTTTTGAGCTTCTCAAACCATGCCCGAGGGGCCTGCTTAAGTCCATAGAGTGCCTTTACCAATTTACACACATGAAGAGGCTTTTTATCATCAATGAAACCTTGTGGCTGAGTCATAAAAACTGTCTCACTAAGCTCTCCATTGAGGAAAGCGTTATTTACATCAACTTGCTGAATATCCCAGCCATATGTGATAGCCAAGCTTAGAACAACTCGAATGGTAGAAGACTTTATAACGGGGCTGAAGGTTTCAAGATAATCAATCCCGGGGTTTTGTTGAAAACCTTTTTCAACAAGTCTAGCTTTGAACCTTTGAATAGACCCATCAGAATTTTGTTTTACTCGAAAAACCCATTTACATCCAACTATGTTCATGTGTGATTCAGCTGGAACAAGTTCCCAAGTATGGTTGGATATTAAGGCTTTGAACTCACTTTCCATGGCAGCTTTCCAGGATGGATGAGATAGAGCTTCAGCTACACTCTTTGGTTCACTTGTATCTAGGTGCGAACTAGAAGAAACTGACATGGATATAGGAATTTTAGCTTTAGACCGAGTAACCATGGGGTGAGTATTTAATGAATGGGAATTATGGACTGTGGTATCAATGGTGGCATGAGTGGACTGGTGTTTAGGAAAGGGAAGATCTACAACAAGATGAATGGATTCAGGAGAACTAGTAGAGTTGTCTGGTAATGTAGTGGGAGAGTTTGTAAGAGGCTGGACAAAGTGTTCAGTAGGTTCAAGAACTGACGTATGTACAGATTGTGGAGAAGACTCTATAAAAGGTGAATTTGGTATGTACTAGGGGAATGTGAGGAAGATTCTTCTAAAGGATCAGCAGTTAGTGTTTTATGTGAGGGAGATTGTACTAAGAAAGACGGTGGAGCTGAAGTATTAACAGATTTGGAAAGTGGACTCGACTTTGATAGTGGAGCTATAGATGACCTTTGCTGACCAATTGTAGGAAAAGGTGGTGAAGAAAAAGAAGACACGGGTGTAGTGGTCAAGGAAGGCATGACTCTAAATGAGCTTTTATCACAAGAGAGAAATTGTGGAGATTGATTTGTTTTAGGACAGAATGCAATAGTTTCGGTAGTTGCAAAAGGGAAATGGTTTTCATCAAATTTAGCACTTTGACATATATAAATCTTGCCTTTAGAATCCATGCATTTGTATCCTTTGTGATGCATGCTATATCCTACAAACGTGCATGTGGTGGTGTAAAAATCAAACTTGTGTGAGTTATAAGGTCTAAGGTAAGGATAGATTGCACAAACAAAGACTTTAATACACTTATAATCTGGAATTTGTTTAAACAAAATCTGAAATGGAGACAAACCAGATAGTACAGACGTGGGCAGCTTATTTGTAAGGTAAGCAGCGGTTTGGAAAGAAAGCCACCAAAATTTTAAAGGCATGCTAGCTTGAGCAAGAAGAGTTAGACCTTATTCTACTAATTATTCTATGTTTTCTTTCAACCCTTCCATTTTGTTGGTGGGTATAAGGACATGGATGCCTAAAAACAATCCCATGATCAAGAAAATATGGAACTAAACTCCTATATTCCCCTCCCCAATCTGTTTGAACACATTTTATGGTGAAGTTAAATTGTTTTTCTGCTAGAATATGAAACTGTTTGAAGATATGTTGAGTTTCTGATTTTTTTTTCAGTGGGAAAATCCAAGTGAATCGGCTATAGTCATTTAGGAATTGAATGTAATAACGAAAACCTTCAAGTGAGGGAATGGGAGAAGGTCCCCAAAGGTCTGAATGAATCAGTTATAGGGGTTGAGAGGCTCTTGAATTGGTTCTAGGAAAAACTGATTGGTGAAGTTTACCAAATTGACATGCAGTGCATAAATCAAAGGTGTGTGAAACAATATTGTTTAGTTTTAAAATATGCAGAATTTTGGAAAGAACATTTGCATTGGGGTGACCTAAACGTTTGTGCCACAACATTCCATTGGTTTTGACAGTAGCAAGTGATTGAAATGTGTGTGTATTATTATCACTAGTAGCATTTACACAAGAGGATACATTTGCAAGAGACTCTAAAGACTCATTATTAGAACTTAAAGTTGGTTCACAAAAATCTGAAATTACAGAAGAAGAAGGCTGGGTTTGGACAAACTGATCTTGATGCAGTGTTCTGGTTAAAGAGTTGAAGGTTATGGCTGTAGGTTTTGCAGAAACATCTGGCAAAGGGAATTTTGGAGTGGCTGCGGTTTGAAGTTGATAAAGGCCATCCTTAAGTCTTCCTTGAAGAAGAACTACCTTAGATTGTTTGTCCTTAACAACACAATGGTCAGCAAAGAATTCAACTATAACACCATTATCTTTAGTAAATCTAGATATGCTTAACAGATTTTTGGTGATTTTATGGACACACAAGACATGCTTAAGATAAAGAGACTTAGATTGACATGGTAAATAAGTGAAACCAGTATGAGATATAGGTAGAAGCTCACCATTTCCAACCTGGAGCTGCTCATTTCCAGTGTAATTAGAATTGACAGTGAGCTGAGAGAGATCAGCTGTTACATGATCTGTAGCTCCTGAGTCCATGTACCAGGAGACATCTTGGACAGTGGATGGTGCAGCGACATAATTGGCAACAGAGTTGGTATAGTTTGGTGACTGTGTTTGAGTTAAAAATGCTTGATTGGAGGAGGTATGTGGTATAGTTGTGGAGGATTCATCATTTGTTTGAATCTGCCCAGATGATCCTACGGGAAAGTGAGTTGATGTTGCATTATGAGCTGTAGAATTAGTGTAGAATGGGTGGACACCAGCTGATATGTTTGGATTATAGGTACGCTGAGATGTGCTCTGAGGGGAGTATGGTGAACCTTGATAAACAGCAGGTGGTTTGGGGTAATTAGGAACAAAATTCTGTCTGATCAGTGGATTGATATCTCCTGTATAATTTGTGTCAAACCTGTGATAACAATTGAGAGCCAAGTGTCAATTTTTTCCCCATACTTGGCATATAAATCTGCCTCTACCAAATCCACGCCCTCTTCCTCTGCCACCAAACTGTGGTGAGTAAAGCTGGTGCTGTGGAACTGAGTTAACAAGATGGTTAGATCCAGGAACAAAGTGACTAGATCCATGAGCAACTTGAGGAGTACTTGAATTGTGGGATGCAAAGCCAAGAGGTGGCATAGGTGTAAACCGAGACTGTTGAACATTAAAGGCGTGATTTTCAATATGATATTTTTTGTGATTCTCACCAGTTGTAAGATTGGCAAGATTAACAGACCCACCTTGGAATTCAGTGTTAACCATTGAGTTCATCACTAGATTAGCTTTTTCTAACCTCAACTCATACTTTTGTAGAATTATCTGTGCATCCTGGACAGAAAGTGATCAAGTCTAGACTCAAGTCTAGTGGTGATATTTACTACTGCAACGTCATATTCAGAAGTTAGGCCATCAAGAATGTAGTTTAACAATTCTTCATCAGTGACTGTTATACCACTGGAAGATAAAACTTCAGCAAATCCTTTCATTCTCATGAAGTAATCATGAATACTTAGATTATCTTTCCTTGTATTTGTAGTAAGTTCTTGATATGTAAGGTTTTACATCTAGATTCAATAAGGAACTCTTTTTCTAAAACAATCCACATTTCGGCAGAAAATTGACACTTTGACACAACAGAAAACATTGATTCATATATGGATCCAAGAAGCCAACTTACTAGTGATTTATCTGTCTTTTTCCACTAAACATAAGCTAGATTAGGTTTCTTTTTTGTAACTCCATCAGAACTTTCACTTTGGATCTTGATAAAGGGGGCTGGACATGAAATCAAACCGGTTAGATGTTCCTCCAGATCATGAGAACCTGCTGCAAATAGAATCTGTGATTTCCAGAATCTATAATTATCTCTGGTAAGTTTGGGAGAGATAACAGGTAGGGTTGAAGACGCCATGGCTAGAGATACTGAAGAACTTTCAGTTTCAGAAGTCAACTTGTGAGCTGAGGTATTTTGATTGAGAGAGATCAACCATTTATGACGTTTGTCTATGGCTCTGATACCATGTGAGAGGTACGAAGAAAACAGGGAAGAACAAAGGAAAAAGAGATATGAAATTCTTCTGTATTTTTAACTCATCAAAAGAGAAGTATAGTAACATGATACTTATAGTAAAAACAGAGCAAAAGATGTAAAACAGAAACAGAATACAAAACTGTTACAGAGACATAAAACAGAACGTAAACAGACTACAAAACTGTTACGATGGTAAAACTGACTTAACAACTTTTTAACAAACTTCTTAAGCTGAATTAACAGCTTTAACAACTTCATTAATCAGTTTACTAACAAGACTTAATCCGCTGCTTAAATTTGAAGTAAAAATATATAATTTACAAACTCATATATAACAACTGAGGAAATTTGTATTTTTTTTTTTTTTTTTATCAAGTTAATGTTTAAGGGATGAATTTTTATTGAAACAGGTGTGGAGCAATGACAGAATACGACCTCATCGGGTAATCATGGGTGGAAATGAAGACAGATATTCAATTGGGTTGTTTACTTTCCACGATGGGACAATAAATATTCCTGAAACGTTAGTGGATAATGAACATCCATTACAATATAAGCTATTTAATCATCTAGATTATGTTAATTACTATTATTCAAACAATGGTTCAAAACCAAACCAGTGCCATTATAAAGCCTACTGCTCCTCAACACAACTCCTCAAACTGGACTACTCTGCAAATGGTTGAAGCCTCTTGTTTTCTTCCAGCAACTTACAACATCAACTTCATTTTATAGCTTCAGAATTGCTTATACTCAGTACAGCTTCAAAAACTCAGTAAAGCTTCAAATCTGCACCAGAAAAAAAAAAAAAAAAAAAACTGCATTTCATTTTTCTGCATTTTTCTTATCAGATTTCTTCCAGCAACACAAACTGCATCTTTTCTGCATTTTTCTTATCAGATTTCAGATTTCTCCCAACAACACAAACTGCATTTTTCTGCATTTTTCTTATCAGATTTCCTTCAGCAACACAAACTGTATTTTTTCTGCATTTTTCCTATCAGATTTCATATTTCTTCCAGCAATACAAACTCCATTTTTTTTTTTTTCAGCAACACAAACGGCATTTTTCTTATCATATTTCTTTTAGCAACACAAACTGATCCAACCACAACACAAACTCTTCCAACTAAACTTCACAAATCTGTAAACTCATAAATCTGCAACTACTCAACACAAACTTCACCAACTACACAAATCTGCAAACTGCACTTTACACAAACAATTCTGCATCTGCAAACTCACAAATCTNTACTTGTTTAGTTTGAATATTTGTCTTGTAGAGATAAATTGAAATGTGTTGGTGGTTGGTTAGTTTGGGTGATTTTGCAGTAGATTGGGGTTTTGAAAATTTGATTTTTATGCTGCTTGTTGCATGTGCATGTATACGGTGTTCATAAGGAATTAAAGGTTGCTGAAAATGATTAATTGAGGTGTGATTGATAACATAGAGAGGAGTTGGTTTCGGCTGACTTGAAGAGTGGGAAGTTTTCAGTAATAAGTAAACAAAAATATATGTAGATTTTTATGTTATGGGGAAGATTGAGGTTGGTCTGTTCATTGTCAAATAATTTAACTTTCCTTTTATCTATATACATATAGGTGAGTATAGCATCATACATTAGTACTGACCCCGACCCAAAATGCATTGTATTTTATTTTTTATGATTTTTCAAAGTTTTAATCTTCAAAAAATCATTAAAAATAATCCGCTCGTTCGAATCGATCCATTCTTGTTGCCTTTCGTTCCTTTAATTATTCCCCACCACCGACCAAAAAATCAGATTAAAACGACAACCCCCGAAAAGATCGTCCCTCGATGTCTCGAACGCTCCTGCCGTGCATGAAAGCAAGGTTGCCGCTCCATGCCAAATGCGTGCACCCCAACTCTGCACACCACAATTCAAATGAGGATTTTAGAATCGCAACGCAACTGACCCCGACCCAAAATGCATTGTATTTTACGATTTTCCAAAGTTTTAATCTTCGAAAAATCATTAAAAACAATCCGCTTGTTCGAATCGATCCGTTCTTGTTGCCTTTCGTTCCTTTAATTTTTCCACACCACTGTGAAAAAAATCAGATCAAAATGACAATCCCCGAAGAGATCGTCCCTCGATGTCCCGAACGCCCCTGCCGTGCGCGGAAGCAAGGTTGCCGCTCCACGCCAAATGCGTGCACCCCAACTCTGCACACCACAATTCAAATAAGGATTTTAGAAACGCAACGCAACTGGCCCCGACCCAAACTGCATTGTAATTTACGATTTTTCAAAGTTTTAATCTTCGAAAAATCATTAAAAATAATCTGCTCGTCCGAATCGATCCGTTCTTGTTGCCTTTCGTTCCTTTAATTTTTCCACACCACCGTGCAAAAAATCTGATCAAAACGACAATCCCCGAAGAGATCATTCCTCAATGTCCCGAACACCCTTGCCGTGCGCGAAAGCAAGGTTGCCGCTCCACACAACTGACCCCAACCCAAAAAGCATTGTATTTTATTTTTTTACGATTTTCCAAAGTTTTAATTTACGAAAAATCATTCAAAATAATCCGCTCGTCCGAATCGATCTGTTCTTGTTGGCTTTCGTTCCTCTAATTTTTCCCTATTGCCATACAAAAAATCAGATCAAAACGACAACCTTCGAAAAGATCGTCCCTCGATGTCCCGAACGCCCTTGCTGTGCGCGAAAGCAAGGTTGCCGCTCCACGCCAAATGCGTGCACCCCAACTCTGCATGCCAAAATTCAAATGAGGATTTTAGAAGCGCAACGCAACTAACCCCGACCCAAAATGCATTGTATTTTATTTTTACGATTTTCCAAAGTTTTAATATTCAAAAAATCATTAAAAATTATCCGCTTGTCCGAATCGATCCGTTCTTGTTGCCTTTCGTTCCTTTAATTTTTCCCCACCGTTGTGTAAAAAATCAGATCAAAACGACAACCCCCGAAAAGATCGTCCCTCGATGTCCCGAACGCCCCTCCCATGCACGAAAGCAAGGTTGCCACTTCACGCCAAATGCGTGCACCCAACTCTACACACCACAAGTCAAATGAGGATTTTAGAAGCGCAACGCAACTGACGTCGACCCAAAATGAGTTGTATTTTATTTTTTACGATTTTCCAAAATTTTAATATTCGAAAAATCATTAAAAATAATCTGCTCATCCGAATCAATCTGTTCTTTTGCCTTTTGTTCCTTTAATTTTTCCCCATTGCCGTACAAAAAATCAGATCAAAACGACAACCCTCGAAAAGATCGTCCCCCGATGTCCCGAAAGCCCCTACCATACGCGAAAGCACAGTTGCCGCTCCACGCCAAATGCGTGCACCCCAAATCTATACACCACGATTCAAATGAGGATTTTAGAAGCGCAACACAACTGACCCCGACCCAAAATGCATTATATTTTATTTTTTACGATTTTCCAAAGTTTTAATTTTGGAAAAATCATTAAAAATAATCCTTCGTCCGAATAGATACGTTCTTGTTTCCTTTTGTTCCTTTAATTTTTCCCCACCGCCGTGTAAAAAATCTGATCAAAACGACAACCCACGAAAAGATCGTCCCTCGATATCCCGAAAGCCCCTATCGTGCGCGAAAGCACGGTTGCCGCTCCACGCCAAATGTGTGAACCCAAAATCTATACACCACAATTCAAATGAGGATTTTAGAAGCGCAACACAACTGACCCCGACCCAAAATGCATTGTATTTTATTTTTTACGATTTTCCAAATTTTTAATTTTTGAAAAATCATTAAAAATAATCCACTTGTCCGAATCAATCCATTCTTATTGCCTTTTGTTCCTTTAATTTTTCCCCACCGTCGTGCAAAAAATCAGATCAAAATGACAACCCCCAAAAAGATCGTCCCTTGATGTCCCTAACGCCCTTGCCGTGTGCGAAAGCAAGGTTGCCGCTCAACGCCAAATGCGTGCACCCCAAATCTTCACACCAAAATTCAAATGAGGATTTTAGAAGCACAACGCAACTAGCCTCGACCCAAACTGCATTGTATTTTATTTTTTACGATTTTCCAAAGTGTTAATCTTCGAAAAATCATTAAAAATAGTCCGCTCGTCCGAATCGATCCTTTACTTAATTTTTCCAGAAATTCGGGTCAATCATTGACCCATGAAATATTGACCCAACCCAATCATAAAAACCTTATTAAGTGATCCCATTTATTTTTTTCAAATCCATTAAGTATAACCCATAAAGAAGCCCAAACCTATAACCCATTAAGAAGCCCAACCCTTTTTGGTCAAACGGGTCAACCCAAACAGGTTTAAATGGGCTGACCCGAATCAGAAAAATGGGTCAAACCGACCCAGTTAGGATCCGAAAAGGTGATCCAAACCGGTCAACGGATTAAACCGGTTCAGACCGTTGACTGAGCCGGTCAATGGTTAAAGTTAACGGTCTCAGTCAACGGTCAACCGTCAAAGTTAATGGTGATAATCAAAATTAACAATGAGGGTCGAATCACTGGATTAGATGCAAGTGAGTTAGCACTCTGATTATCACACCATATAACATGAACTTCAGGAAGATGCAGACCCATTTCAGTGAATAAACTATGAAACCAGGCTATTTCTGTTGCACCTTGAGCAAGAGCTCTATACTTAGCTTCAGTAGAAGATAGGGCCACTACTTTTGTTTCCTAGAGCTCCATTGCAGCAAGTTAGATCAAGGAATAGGCAGCAACCGCTGGTTGATCGTCTGTCCTGAATACTTCCGCCAGTCAGCGTTAGTGAAACATCAAGATGAAATCTTTGTATTTTGGTTAACTTGACACCAAAATTTGAAGTGCCTTTATATATCGAAGAAGTCTTTGCAAGCTTGCCAATGAAGTTGAGTGAGAGCTTTTAGAAATTGACTTAATTTGTTGACAGAAAATGCAATCTCAGGCCGGATAGTGTGAGATATTGTAGTGCACCAATGGTACTCCCGTAGAGAGATGGGTTGTCAAATGGCTCACTATCCTCAAAGTTAATTTGTTTCCTAATGCCATTGGAGTGGAGCACGGTTTGGGTCTGACATTCCATTTTAATCAGTAAATCCCGTCATATTTATCTTGACTCATATGTACTGCTGAATCTGTTCTTTGAACTTCAAATCCAAAAAAATACTAAGAAAGCCCAAGGTTTTTAAGGCAAACTCAAGATTCAGTTTGCACACAATATCTTGAACTAACTTATCATCACTTCCTGTCAATATATGTCATCAACATATACAACACCATAATAACCTGATTATTGTGTCTGTAAAATAACAGACTAGGATCAGCAACTAACAGAGAAAACCCACTGCAAGAAGGCATTTTTGACTTCTCAAACCATGCCCGAGGGGCCTGCTTAAGTCCATAGAGTGCCTTTACCAATTTACACACATGAAGAGGCTTTTTATCACATGAACCTTGTGGCTGAGTCATAAAACTGTCTCACTAAGCTCTCCATTGAGGAAAGCATTATTTACATCAACTTGCTGAATATCCCAGCATATGTGATAGCCAAGCTTAGAACAACTCGAATGGTAAGTCTTTATAACGGGGCTGAAGTTTCAAGATAATCAATCCCGGGTTTTGTTGAAACCTTTTGCAACAAGTCTAGCTTTGAACCTTTGAATAGACCCATCAATTTTGTTTTTACTCGAAAAACCCATTTACATCCAACTATGTT